CACAACCAGTGAAGAGTGGGTTTTACCAAGAAAGTCTTTTGTTTGCTGTAGGTGCTGAGTTACTTAGTTGTACCTTATTTTGTATAGTATTAATCTTATGAAGATTACAGCATGCTGGTGCTTCTGCTGCTTTTTTTCAGGATTTGACCACTACAACCCTTCTTGAGTCAAAACCAGAGCACGTTACTGGGAGGTGCAAAAGATGCTGAGTCTTGGCCATTTTGTCAGGAGTACTATCAGAGAACTACTGGGGGAGGTAGCACAGAGGAGGGCTGAGCAAACACTTCTCTGCCTGGGCTAATATTTACAGCACCACACTCTGCTCTTTACAGGGTTAGAGACAGACAGCAGACATTCACAGCTAATAGTAACACCTGTACACTACAGAAATATTAACCTAATGCAAACAACCCAGCAGAAGTTGATGTCTGTATTTATGGAAAACCAAATAAAAACCTCCTCCATTTCCTAGCATGAGTGCTAGTGCCCTAAACAGCTCTGGCTGCTTATTGCCAAAGAAGGTTCAGGGGTTTGACATCCATAGCAGCTAGTTTTGTGTTTTGTGTTTCAGTCCCTGGGATACTTGGCCACTTCTGGCTCAGACAGTTTTATCTTTTTGTTCCTATGAGTAAATAATTCAAAGCTGCCCTTGTATTTTACCCTCAGTGTGGGTCACAGCAGGAAGGTCAGAGATGTTTAGTTGTCTGTCTGATTAAATACAGTCATACAGCTCCATGATTAGACTATATCTTTGGTGAGAATAATTGTAAGTTGTTCTACAGGAAAAGGGAACTAAGAAATTTATGATGATTAAAATTCAGGATGAGCAATGAACATGCTGGACAATACAGTTTCAGTCCAGAGGGACTTAGAGAAATGAAAGAACTGGGTTAACAGGTGCCTTATGATGTTTAGGAAGGATCATTGTGTTCTGAAACAGGGCACAGTGACCCCATGCATCTTTCCTGGCTGAGGACTGAGTGGATGAGAAGCAGTCCTGCTGGAAGGACCTGGAAGTTGCCATGGATACCAGTAAGATGTGATTGTGAATAAAACAACCCACACACCACACTGTATTAGGAAGAACATGGCCAGAGACTGAAAGAAATTATTCATGTCTGCTTAGCAGTGGAATGGCTACACCTGGACTGCTGTGTGCAGTTTCCTGCCCCTGAAGTTCAAGAGGGATGTGGAGGAACGAGAAAGGGTCCAGTGGAGGGCTACCAAGATGGTAGCACATGACCTACAAATTGATTATCAGACCTGGGCTTGTTTGAGAGACCATCTACTACTACCCTACAGCTACTTAAAGGTGAGCTGCAAAGGTGATAAACCCAAATGGCAGGTGATACAAGAAATTATGATGGCCATAAATTTCATCTTGGGTTGTTCAGGCTGAGTACTATTAAAAACTTTTTCACTAAGACGTCGGTGCAGTGCTAGAACAGATTATCTATAAGAGTCTGTACTGTACAGACTAGTACAAAGATGTTGGATCAGAGATTCTCTAAGTCCCTTTTCACCACCTAGTTAAGGCAATGGTTAGTGTGCACATGCTTGAATGACAGAAGCAACTTAAGGCATGAGCAGCTCAGAAGAAAAATTATTTGTGAAAGGAAAGCAAAAATACTTTTTCAAGAGAAGAAAGGAGGAGAACCTTATAACAGAGCTGCTCTACTACCTTAAGTCTAAATTTTTTCAGAGGCAATAACATAGACAAAATGAGTAGTTTTAATAGTGCATTACACTATATTTTGATTCAAAGACATTTAAGTGATGCACTGTGAGCCCATTTTTCTGATCCAGATATATCCATGATGCATATTGTCTCTCCTTGTCTCAAGTGAAGTTTAATTAGTTTGCAGTGGATCTGGCAGTGGCAAGACAGACCCAGACCTTAGGGGTTGTACCTGTTCAGTGTAGTCAGAAAAATAATGGAACTGTCATGGTTTTGGAAGAGTATTTCCCAATTTACTTCTCCCACTAAAACTTTGCTGTTGCTCCCCTGCCTTCCTTCAATTGGAAGAACAAAAGGCAAAGGTCACAGGTGGAGACAAGAAAGAGGAATGAGATAAGGAACAGTAACAGCAACAATATTAATAACAAAAGGTACAAGACAGAGAAATTATTTGCACCAAAAGTCCGACAGTACTCACTGGCTCTTCCCAACCATGCTTTCCCCCAATAGAAGGAACCCCTTCTGCTCAGAAGTGAGAGTTCCTTTCTCTGCCCCCAGCAATGATGTGAGGTGGTATCAAATAATATTAGGGTATTGGCCACGCCCACTCTCACTGATCTGTGCCAAAACCAGAACAGGAACCAAATCAAAGATTTTACTTTCCTGTAGGCTTGGAAGGTACTCAAACAGGCATTAAAGCAATCAAGTTAAAGAAACACGAACTAGATTATTTCCTCTTGTTTCAGCAGCAGTTCTGCAGCTGCTTTCCACGGTGAAATGGACTGGACTTCTATTCATGCAAGCCATGAGACAGAGGACTCAAAGCCACATGAGGCCACAAAGATCAGTGATCCCACTCTGCTGACACCTTCACTGCCTTTCAGTGCTGTGGAACACAGAACACGAGCCAGTAGGTTCTTATTTTAATCACTCCTGTAGGTTCTTATTTTAATCACTCCTGTAAATTTTCTCCTCTTTGCTTGTGAGAGAGATGGGCACATGGCAGGGCAGCAGCACAGGGGCTGTTTACTTTACATCTTATCAGCAGCATTATGTGCTTTAGAGACTGCCAGGAAAGACTGAGGTACAAGCTGCTCCTATTGAGTCAACAATATGCCCAGGCAGCCAGGGTGCATCAAGCAAAACATCGCCAGCCAGTCAAGGGAGTTGATTGTCCTGCTTTACTCTGCACTGGTGCAGCCCCACCTTGAGTATTGTGTGCAGTTTTGGGCACCACCATATAAAGACTTTAAGCTACTAGTGACCATCCAAAGGAGGCCACAAGGGTAGAGAAGGGTCTGGGGGCAAAGCTTAGGAGGTACAGCTCAGGACGCTTTGTTTGTTCAGCCAGGAGGAGGCTGAGGGGAGACCTTATTGCAGTCTTCAACATTCTTGTGAGGGGAAGCAGAGGGGCAGGTGCCAATCACTTCACTCTCGTGACCAGTGACAGGATTTGAGGAAAAGGCATGGAGCTGAGTCATGGAGGTTTAGGCTGGGTACTGGGGAAAGGTTTTTCACCCAAAGAGCAGTTGAGCACTGGAACAGGCTCTGCAGGACAGTGGTCACAGCACCAAGCACCTGAGTTCAAGAAGTGTTTGGACATTGTTCTCAGGCACATCATGGGATCCTTGGTATGTCCTGTGCAGGGCCAGGAGTCGGACTTGATGATCATGATGGGTCTCTTCCAAGTAAGCATATGCTATTATTCTGTGATTCTGATACATGGCAGGACTTTGCACCACAGCACAGAGTAGCTGAGGCTACCCACATAGATGAGGCTTTCTTTACTAATTTTGCACCTGGCAACAGGGTTTCTAGGATTTCCAATTTCTTTGTCTGTCCTCAGGAAAATTCTCTCTTGCCTCCTATTCCTTCTGTTTTTTTTTAAAGCATCCAACAAAGCACTTGCCTGAAGAGCTATCAGCAGGAGTGTTGACAGCATGTAAAGGGAGACTCCCTGGGCCATAGGCAATTGTGCTCCAGAAGACTAGGGCTGCTTCAGTAATGTGTTAGAAGGCTTGCCTCTGTGGTTTGGCATGCAAGCCAAATGGGTAAAACTACCTTTTTTTTTTTTTCAGTAGCCACATATAGCAGAGACACTGAATTAATTCTTGACAAACTGTTGGAAACAAGTAGTAGTCTCACAGATTGCCACCAACAACTTACATGTGCCAGATTATTTTTTAATTATAGGCAAATTAATGAATTCACATTCCTTAGCCTCTTGTCTCTTTCCACACAGGAGGGCTTTTGCCTCTTCTAGGTTCCTGGTATCAGAGCCACTCTTCATGGTTTTGTCACTATTTCAACCAGTTCATGAAATAATCCGAGATATTTAAGGGTCGTCTAACCCAGTGGGCCTTGAAACACATTTTTCTAAGCACTCTATCTTTGCCAAACATTCTTACCTTGCTATTATTTAACTGCTCGAGTGAGTGTCAGCACAGGCAGGTAGCAGCCAGGACAGCCACAAACCCATGGCTGAACCCCAATGAGTAATTTAGTTCTCTTCCCTTGCTAACTGGGGGATCCCCACTGCAACCCCTTGGCAGAGGCACACAGGTGGAGACATAGGCACCATTAAACCGGGGTCATGCCAGAGGATCACTGGAGTGTTCACATCTGTTTGGCAAGAGTTATTCCCAGCTTCGTGTATACAATCCTCCTCTGCAGACAGTCATCTGCTTTTAACCCATTCATCCCAATGCACAGTCGCCAGCTGTGTTCCAATTATCACGTTGCCTTTTGTCCACCTAACTCCAACATAGAGCAAGAGGAATGCACACAGATCTGTTAAAACACACCGTGGCATATCTGAATGGAATGTAGGAGGTATTTAAGAAAAGGGCCCTGTGAAAGTAGATCAACTGTATGAACAGGTACCAGGAACATTTTTGTAATAAAGAGCTTTAATTTGTTCTTCGATAAACTGTACAGAACTTGCTTAGTGACGTCCTTGTCGTGATTAATGTAGTGGATTCTCAGGACGAGCGGGTATCGCAGCACTGATCCACCCCCAGAAGCACGGGACCGATGTGGGAGACCCGGCTGCAATAGTAGCATAACAGAAGCAGAACAGAGTCATTTGAATGACTCCCTGTTTTGTCTCGTGCACAGAGAGCTTTCTAGGAACACCTGCAGCTACATCCCAGGATCCGCCTCCCAGCTTTTTGTAACCACCCTCCTGGTCCATTCCCTGCAGCCCCAGCCGGCCCGAAGCCGGCAATGACCCGGCAGTACCGAGCGAGCCCGGAGCGGCCCGGCCTAGCACCGCTCCCTTCGCACGCCCACGGTCCGCGGACCGGAAGCGGAAGCGCGCAGCGCCTCGGTGGCGGCGATGCCCCTCGCGTGGGCCCAGCCGCGTCTTTCCGGTTCCGCCGGAGCGGCGCGGGCGGGGAGTGACGGGTCCCGGGTCCTTCCGCGGCGCCGAGGGCGGCGCGGTCCCGCCCGGCCCATGGACCGGCACAAAGTGAAGCGGCAGCGTCTGGACCGGATCTGTGAAGGTGAGGCGGGGCGGGCGCCTCTCGGCAGCAGCGGGCAGCGGCACCTGCCCCCGCGGGGACCCACCGCGCGCCTGTGGGGCTGAGCGTCCGCCTGGCCGGCGGCGAGCAGGGCCCCGCCGCCCGCGGAGGCGCTGCCTACGGCTTTCTGGAAAGGGCCGGATGCAAGTGCCTGTCGGAGGCTCTGAGGACGTTCAAGTTCTTCTCACTTTAGGGGGAAATATTATCTGGCGTGCTGGGATGGAGGGGGGGGCCGGTCACAGGAGGAGGAGGTGTGAAGCGACTTTGTCACTCGTTTCAGGAGCCAGGAGTAAGATGGCATGCTGCTGAGCAGATCACCTCTCGTATATTGTTATTGATAATGCATGCTTTATTTTCCTTCATCTAAGTGGTGGCAGAGGTGGTTGTGAGTTTTTTCCCCGAGTCTTTTCCCTGTGTTTGTTTCATATTCATGCCTTTTGCTTTGCCTAATCTGTTCCTAAATACTATTAGCAACTTATTAGACTAGCAGATGAAGGTTCCAGAATTCTTGTCTTTCATGTAATCACTCCTGTTGACTTTCTTAATAGGCATACGGCCTCCTATTGTGAATGGCCCAATGCCAGCACGGCCACTGGTTGCACTCCTGGATGGACGAGATTGCACTGTGGAGATGCCCATCTTGAAGGATGTTGCTACAGTGGCATTTTGTGATGCTCAGTCAACTCAGGAAATTCATGAAAAGGTGGGAAGAAGATGTGCAAGATTCAGAAGTAGAGCTTTGCCACTTAGATAACCAAACCAGATACTGATTTGGACTGGTTTTTGTTATAGGTGCTGAATGAGGCAGTAGGAGCTCTGATGTATCACACCATTACCCTTTCTCGTCAGGATCTGGAGAAATTCAAAGCCCTCAGGGTCATTGTGCGTATTGGCAGTGGCTATGACAATGTTGACATCAAATCTGCTGCAGAATTAGGTATGGTGACACTGTTAGGTGTCTGTTGTGATCAGAACTGAATGTGAAATGGAACACTGCACATCTTTTTGTGCTTTATGAGCTGAGTGCATTTAAAAACTTCTATGTACAAAGATTTGGAGCTGCTCAGTATCAGGTTTCTTTTAGGAAGCTGACCAATAGAGGGGCTGGTAGGTGGCTTAAAGGAAAGATTCTCAGTTTCCATATTGCTCTGCTATTGATGTTGATGTCTTTGTTGTTGTTTGGGATTCTGGAATCCGAATATGGTGTCTAGCTAACATTTGGTGAGATGACTTTGGTCTATTTGTGACACCTGAGCAAACTGATGTCTGAAAGCTGCCTGCAAATGCTGATGTAGGATAAACTCATTGTAAATGCTTCATTAGTTTTCTTCTTAATTTTGTGTATGCAAATAGGTTCTGATACAAAACTTTATTAGTTATCCCTTTAGAATCCTAGGCATGTGAAAGTTTCTGGATCAGGTGACAAGAAGATGCTATTTAATATTAAACAGCTGGTAGTGAGACTTCTGGACCTTTTAGTCTCATAGGTGAGATGGATCACTTAAGTATCTTTCCCCTTCTTTTGTAAGTTTTGCAAGTGTAAGGGATTCCAAAGCTTCCTTAATGTAATGCAGGTCTTGTTAAGGTTAAATCAAATACAGGTATTAGTATATAAATTTGAAATAGGCAAGCATTGAAATTTTCAGATTTGTAAGAACAGGTGAATTTCTAATAAATGAAGAGTGTGTATTGGGCTAGTGCTTGAATTAGGTCAAAAGAGCCTTTTCGTTTGGATGATTCAAAGAAATAGTGTCAAGAGTTCCTGTCAAGGTCCTTGGCTTTCATCCAGCCATATTTTTGCTGAATTTGGAACCTGACCTAGTCTTAATGCTTCTCAACCGTCCGTATCTTTGATTCATTCAGATTCAAAGATTTCCCTTTTCCTCCACTGCACACTCATTAATCCAAGGTGAAATGAGTCAAAATTCCTTCACCATCAGACTGTTACTTGCCACTTTTGCTGTGGAGCAACAATGTGATAACCCTTACATGTGGTCAAATTTGCTTTTTAATGGACAATTAATGGTTATTTTCATGCTTAGCCAGGCCTTTTAATTAATTCAGAGGTAAGATACTGTTCCTTATGTGTTCTGAATCTTCAGACCAAAGGGCTGTTGTCTGTGTTTGTGGTATAATACTGTATGTTAATACATTTAGGTTATAATACTGTATGTTAACACAAATCTGTGTCTGGCTGTGTAACAGATGAATGCATGTGGCTTGTCTACAGTTGAATGAGATGGTAACCAGTGAGATTAAGAGAAATTGGGTTTTCTATCACCCCTGTTCATGTCCTCTGAGTTGTCTGTGTGACATTATGGCAAAATTGGAAATAGTTTGATAGAGAAAAACAGTCGGATATCTGGGATTGTCTGTGGCTGTTGCTCTCCTAATTCTCCTGGGAAAGCATGGTCTGAGTTTAGCTAAATATCTCCTCTGACTAGACTTACGAAACAATGATGCCTTCAACCATTGCCTAGATTTTATTTCCAGTTTTTAGCTAGGTGGTGGACTTTTGAGGTAGAAGAGTTGCCTTGGTTTGGCAAGTGAATAGGGTTATGTTTGGGAAGAGACTATTTTTCCATTTAATTATTTTTATTTCTTTGCTGGTTTGTCAGATGAAGGCTAGCAGGAATGAAATGGTATGTTTCCAGCCTCTCCCCTCCTACTTTTTTTTGTCATAGATTGCTTAGGACTTCAGTCAGATTTTGATACAGTGTTCCATCTTTCCTTTTTCTGACAGTAATTTATGCTTTTAGGACTTCAACTCTGTCTGCATTACTAATTTACTTGATAGTTGTAGCCATGGGTTTTATGATCCTTGTGTTTGTATGCTATTCTACAGTGGGAATGTTATTTTTAAGCTTCAAATGGATTTAGAGAAGCTTCTGGAACTTCTGTCTGCATTTAATGAGTTAGTTTCTTATTGTTGCTCCTGGGAGGCTGATGATCACAGTGAGCATCTGGACCATGAGGCATGAGGAGCTCAGCCATCTGTCTCAAGTCTTCTACAGAATGCCTGTTAATTTGTCAGGAGTATCTGTGGAAGGAGTGCATCTTTTTGAATGCACGTCTTTTAAAACAGTTAGTTGCTTGTATGGCCCAGTTTTCTCATTTTAGCTTGTTTGTTTTTCAGGTGAGTGTGTCAATCAAATAGATATTTATAAGGAAGGGATGGTATTTCCTGGGGGATTAAAAAGATGGCTGGTCACATCTGTGTTGTTGTAGAATGAGGTTCTGAAATGAATCCTGTGTTTCTTGAGTTCTGGAGTACTCAATTATCTTCCAGCATTTGTGCTTAAAGAGCTTTATGTTGGTTTAGGATTGTAATAGTAAAAATCTTATATGACTGCTATGGCCTTGCAGGCATTGCCGTTTGCAACATCCCTTCCTCCTCAGTAGAGGAGACTGCTGATTCTACCCTCTGCCACATCTTGAACCTCTATCGCCGTGTTACTTGGCTACATCAGGCTCTGCGGGAAGGGAATCGAGCCTCAAGCGTAGAACAGATTCGAGAGGTGGCTGGAGGTGCTGTGCGTATCCGTGGGGAGACTTTGGGCATCATTGGATTAGGTAAGTGATGGGAATTGTTAGACTGAAAAGAGAACTGTGAACATTTTTGGGAAGCTAAGAGTCACATACTGAAAAAAAATGATAATTCTACAACTGTTCATTGTGAAACACACTGACTCCTAAGGAATGCTAGTGTCTTGTTCTGGATATCTTCAAGAGCTGGGTATATGTCAGGGGATTGGGTACTCTTTTTTTTTAAATTCCAAATGGTTAGAAGAATTGGAACATTTATACAGCTCTTCTCAGTGACTGTTTCCCTCTGTGCTAGGTTCTGTATCAGTAGCAAAGCGCCTGAAATGTGGCTACCAATTCCTTCTCCAAGTTCTTGTAGCCAGATTATTATCTCTGTCTCAGAGTCTTGATTTGGTGTGGAAACAGAACTGCTTCTTGACTACGCTCTGGCTATTGCATGGGGAAGAACTAGAACTAGCTACATAGGAGCAGCACTGAATAGCCTCTTCTGGATCCCTATAGCAATCCTAGGGGTTTCCAGGGCTGCAATACCTTGGGCCCTGGTAGTAAACTTCAGTGTAGGCTCCCAGTCTACCCCAGTATCTTGTCTTTAAAGTTTGTTTTACCTTTCCTTGATGATTGTGGGTTTTCTTTTGTGAAGGCCGAGTTGGACAGGCAGTGGCTCTGCGAGCCAAGTCCTTTGGCTTCAACGTGATTTTCTATGATCCCTATCTGCCGGATGGAGTGGAGCGATCCTTGGGTTTACAACGAGTAGGAACCCTGCAGGATCTACTAATGCACAGCGATTGCATCACATTGCACTGCAGCCTGAATGAACATAACCATCACCTCATCAATGACTTCACTATTAAACAGGTGCAGCAGGAGCTTGATTTCCCCCACAGAGCACTGTGGAAATGAATGCAAACCAAAACTGCTGCTTTCACAGAGGCTGAGAGCGTGTGAATCCTGCTGCCTCTGTTGTGTGCCTCCTGTTGCCTTTGGAGGCTGGGAGCGTGTGGATCCGGGTGCCTGTGCTTTGTGCTGTATAGAATTTTATGTTAAGAGAAGAATAGAATTGGCTTTTCCTGCAAAGTAGTTTCCTTTATAAAGAATATTGTAGGTGATTCCATAATTTCAAATTATATTTAAAATAATTTATTGCACTGGTTAAAGCTAGATGTGGCATGGCTAGGATTGTGTACATTGTTTTACACAGCACTGCCAAAGCCTCTCTGCCCAAGCCCATTGCAAAGCCAGTTTTGGGCTAAACAGTCTGTGAATGCTTTCCAGTGCTATTATGAGAGACATTTGGACATTGTAGTCCAGTTTTGTGTAGCTGGATACTTGAGTCATGGCTCCTGTCCTCATTTTTTTTTTTAAATGTAGTAGGATGAATATGGAGTGCAGAACTTGAGAGTTCCACTTTTGCCCTTGTTGTCTTGTGGTTTTGTTTGTTGATTTTTAAAGCAAATTTCTCAAGCATTGCTTGCAGGCATTTCCCCTGTGGTAAGCTTTGCAGTGAAAGCACTCCTAGTTCCTCCAGACCTCATCTGGTCACTGCAGACTTCTGCTCATTTCCAGTAGACTTCCCAAGATTCACTTAGCTTCCGTGAAAAGTCTCATTCTCAATGCATGTACTGTTTTTCTTCTTCCAGATGCGTCAGGGCTGCTTCTTAGTCAACACAGCCCGGGGAGGGCTGGTAGATGAGAAAGCCTTAGCACAAGCCTTGAAAGAGGGGAGAATCAGAGGAACAGCATTGGATGTGCATGAGTCTGAACCTTTCAGGTAATGTCGTACCTGCATGCCTGCTGCTATCTGGTGGTTCACCTAAACTGGATGGTTCTTTTGGCAGTTTGGTGGGTTTGGGATTTTTTTGTGGTTTTTGTAGATGGGGTTATCACTTCTGGGAAAAACCTTGTTCTTCCCCCCAGTTTTGCTCAGGGGCCGTTAAAAGATGCACCCAATGTTATCTGCACCCCTCACACTGCTTGGTACAGTGAACAGGCTTCCATTGAATCCAGAGAAGATGCAGCTAAAGAGATCCGCAGAGCTATTACAGGTAATGAAGATTCGCAGCTGCTGCTGAATTAGTGATTTTTTGTTAGTTCACTGCAAGGATTATGCTGATTGTTCTGAAAACTTAGACTCATTAAGTGGTTTCTGGGACTGGAGTGTAAGTTGATAATTGTATCTTTGCCTTTTGAGAATTCTTGTACCTAATGCCAGAGTGGCTCTTTCCCTGGGAGAGCCTTTTACATCTTCCAAATCCTTTGCAATAATTCCTTTGACAGTTTTACTGTATGTTTTTTCCCCTTGAGTAGTACATGTTGTCTCTTGAAAAAGGTGAGGCTTGGCAGTTGCAGTTTGTGGCAATAATTTTCACATGATCATAGAAGTGGGAGGAAAAGTTTCTTGCCATCCCCAGACACCAGATGATTAGAGGTGATATCCAGTGTTATCCTGTGGAAGTGGATGAAAAGATTTTGCACTTTTCCTTTCTACTTTCCTTTGTAAATGCTGCAGGGAACAAGTCTCTCCTACCTGTTTTCTGGTTTTCTTTTGTCATTCTTGGTGCCCTTGCAGGTCATATACCTGACGCTTTGAGAAACTGTGTTAATAAGGAGTACTTGCTGTTAGCAGCTCAGTGGTCCAATATTGATCCTGCAACTGTCCACCCAGAACTCAACGGAGCTGCAGCTTACAGGTGAGATACATAGGTTATCCAAGCATATCTTCCTGCTGAAGTAGGCCAGGGATTTGAGAACTTCTTGTACCTGCAAACAGGTATGTCTCTGTTCCTATATACTCTATATGAGTTCTTTCCCAAAACTTAACAGCAGCACTTCTAAAGGTGTATGAGTATTTAACATGTACTTGGTAATATTAAGTTCCAGCTGCATACTGATCAATATTTCCAAATCCTTGGAAGACATGCCCAAGAGACACCTTAATATAAAAAGCCTAAATATATATATAACAATGTCCTAAAAAAGGTCGGCAGCTCTACATTAGAAGTTGTGCATAGCATTAGGGCTATATAAAAACAAAACACAGTTCTTACTTGTAGCCCACATACAGACTATTACTGAGTCACTGTCCAGTGGATTTGTAGTCCAAACAGAATGTATTTGAGTTTATCTGTTACAAACCTGTAAAGCGATTGTGGACAGGTTGCTTCCATTCTGTTTGTCTCCTATCTGCAAAGCAGGAAATATATTTTCCTTCCTTCTATGAGAGATCTAGAGAAGTTGAGATGCATTTATGTAGAGGGCATAGGGAAGCAGAATGGAAGTGATGGAAGAATAGTTCATTAGCAATTCATGACTGTCACTCTCCTATTTTTCATCTTGCATCTAGCTGCTTTATTAGTTCAGCTTCTTACTTTTTCTGCCTTGGAGCCCAATGAAGGATAACTGCAGCTTACACCCCTCCTGCTGATGGGGAGGGAATTCCTAGCCCTCAAGGTGCCTTCATTGAGTGCCATTGAGTGAATAGTGATATTTTCAACTGGAGATAAATTTTGTATCTGTTTTCAAATGCTTAGTATGTGACCTCAGACTGTCTGGGTCTGTCTGCAAACAAGTGTCATTTGGCATTAAGATACCACTGCTACTCCTCAGCTCTGGAGACTTTCCCTGTGTTCTATCTCAGAGCATTTCTGAGATAGAACACAGGAAAAGAGGGGTTTGTTTTCAGCATGTCTGAGGGCATGGCTCGTTTTCCTTTGAATAACTCTGTTGGACAAGCTTGTAATTTCTATGTTTTTGTTGGTTTTAGGTTTCCTCCAGGAGTAGTGGGAGTAGCCAACCCTGGGCTACCAGAACCACCAGTAGTGGAAGGGATTGTAGCTCATGGGATCCCTCCTGTTTCTCACTCTGCTCCACGTACTCCTTCCCCAGGAGAGACAAGCAAACTGGATGCAGACAGAGAGATTCCTGCTGACCAATAGCAGCATGTTTCTCTCCTCTCCTTTGGCAGCAGAAAAAAGTAGGAGGGCATCTCCTCCTAGGACCTTTCTTAACACCCTACAGACACTGTTTCCTGTTCACATGGAACAGGAGAATGCATTTCATTGCCGACAGACTTTAGCTCTTGCCTTTTTTTTGTAACCTTTTAGTTAAAATTTCTTAATGAATCTTTCTCCTTCTCTGGGGCATGGCAGCAGTGACCTTGCCTCCCCTTGGCTTAATGAATCAGTTCTCCCATGTATCTGCTTCAGTTGTCTGTGACAGGGAACTGTCTTTGTGTGCTTGAAAATGGAAGTGAAGCCACTTGATCAGGGATGGTCCTTGGAGGTACAAACTTAAGTGCACACTTTTCAGTTGTGACTTGTAGCTTAAATTTAATTTGGCTGAATCTCTCTTAAGTGTAGCCATGGGGAATGTTGGAAAAAATATTAGTGAATTGGAGAAATTGTGACTATTGTCTTCATTATGCCCTTATAGAAGGCAGCTAGGCTAAGCTCTGTGTGTTACTTTGCTTGTTTTAATTAATGTTTCCTGTGAGAACAGGCATAGTGCAGGCACTGTTAATTCTTGACCATACCAAGTTTTCTCTATGCAGTTCTAGGCCTGAAGTTAAAAGTAGCACTGTCAAAGCCAGCCTTTTCATAGTTTGGAAGGGATTAAAATGTCATCAAATGTATTTTGGTGGCAACCATGTTTGTGAGGCTTCAGAATTGTTCACCCTGGAGTCTATAACTTGGAGAAGGTAAGAAAATGCTGAAATAGGAAAAGCATGCACTGAGAGACAGCAAGTAGCAATAATGTGCAGCTGCAGTTGCTGGTTCCTCACACACAAGTACCTCGTAGTCTATGGCAGTGTTTATCCACAAGGGATCCATCACACTAGAATTCTAAGCTTTAAGATACAGATTTTTTTTTTCTTTTTCAATAATTGCATCAGCTAGAAGGAACTTCCCACTTGTCGGTGCTGGTGGAGAAGGCAGTTTTTAAGAGTCGGGAAAAAGTTTATCACCCAGAAGGTGGCTAAGTACTGGAATAGACTCCCCAGGGAGGCTAGCAAAGCACCAAGCCTATCTGAGTTCAAGAAGTGTTTGGACAATGCTTGTGGGTACATGGTGGGATTCTTGGGGTGTCCTGTGCAGGGCCAGAAGTTGGACTCCATGATCCTGATGGCTCCCTTCCAACTCAGCATATTCTACAATTTTGTGATATACTGCATCTCTGTAGCAGGGCAGGGCAGCAGGGCAACGCAAGACAGCAGTTTGTTTTACATGAATAGGCTTTGTGATACTAAACAGAGAATTAATACTTGCAGTTTTTCACCTGAAGCCAAGGCAGGATTGTTGCTGGCAAGTCTTCAGCAAAGAGGATCCACAGGAGAAGATTTTTCTTTAATTTCATATCTTTAATTTCATCTTGTTACACTTCAGTTGTAGCCTTTCCATGCACAAGATGTAACAATATCTGATTGATTTGTTGATGTTGTTTGGATATATTAAAGTAGGTGCTGTATGGGAGGCATACCCTATGTGTAGGTTTCTCTGCCTCCCTTGATTATTCTCTCTGTTGTGTGTCTGTGACTGGAAGCTTAACAGATGGGAACAGACTGGAGAAACAACTTGAAATATGGACAAAATCTTCTGTTTAGGCTGTTTAGTTTAGGAAGGTAAGGAAAGCTTTCAGAATAACTAAGTTCTCAGATGTTTTTTTTTTCTGGTTTAAATGTTTTTTTCCAATACTGCCTTCTCTATAGTGGCTTACTACCAATACAGTGATTCATTCCTTTCTCCTCCCCTTCTCCACTCCCCCCAGCAATTTAAGAAAGGAAAATAGTCAAGAAGTAAACTTCAGGTGTTTTCTTACAAATTTTACACTTTAGCTGTTTAGTATTAGTGAGATAATACTAGTTTTCTAGTGCTGAGTATCTTTTTTTGATAAGGTATTTGTCTCAGTGAAGATTCTTGGCTTCTGTGTTTTTGTGGATGATTCTGATTCTACTTCAAATTCATATACCTCCTTGGCTGCTCAGGTCTAGCAGATCAGACTGAGACTGGTGGTAGGCATGAGTTACAGGAGAACTTTTTCTGAACAAAAACCTGGAGCTCAGAAGCCCATTGATTGCAGGTGTACCTAAAATAACCATCAGCACTCTCCTGAATTCTGTACTCTCTAGGAAATTCAGATTTCACAAGCTGCTGGCTCAGAAAGATCTTCTGACAGGCAGGTGTGGAAAAGTTTTCAGAAAGCTCATCTTCTATTACCACATTAGGGAAGCAGTCTGTCAATAACTACACTTTATTTGCTGCTGAAAATTCCTGCCCTTCTTAGAGGTTCAGGACTGAGATTATTTTGTGGTAAGGGGCTTCTACTTACGAGCTTTGAGGATCAGAGTACATTGACCTTGTCTTTTCTAGAGCACAATGCAAGATAGATTTATTTTTTTAGAAGAGCCAATTTATTTTTTTTTCTTCGTTACTGCAAGTATCTTTATAGACAGTGAAATAACTGAGCAGAGGAGAGTAGAAAAAAATTCATTTGGGGGAAACATGTGTTTCTCAGTTCATATTTTTGGTGGCTAGATACACTAGTGACTCGTAAGCATAGGAATTAAATGATTGATGATGTAAGAAATATTTACAGTTATGGGTACCAAGGAGTTGAAGCTGACAGTATTGATAGTGGCTCTGTTCTATCCAACACAATGTACACTTGCTCTTGGATATGATGCTAGTTTTCCTCTTGGTTAAAGCCACAGCAGAAAGTGTTGACGTAAAAATGAACAGAACCATCCTCTTGTCCTCAGAGAAGGACTCTCTTTGCATTTATAGTATTACTCTGCTTGTATGCTGTTTGTACCTCTGCTGACAGCCTGAACCTATTATCACCAGACAAAGGCTGTTCTGAACAGATAGCTCGAAGAAAAATTTACTGGTACTAAAGCATCCTGAGGTCGTCTTTCCCTGAGTGCCAAGTGCTTTTTTAGCACTCTTGTTGTGTGATACACTGAACTTGCAGGTCCCCCTCCCAAGCTTAGTGCAGTATACAGAAGTGGAGTGACTTTTTTTTTTAATGCCTTCCTTCAGAACTAGTGCAGAGCTTTAATCCCAAAGAACAAAAGTCTCCCAGGGTGAGGTAGGAGTTCCCTAGCCACACTAATCTGCTTACAGGAGGTGCTCACACTATCCCAAGGTACATTCTGTTTGTCGGGGTCACTGCTGCTGACCAGCTTTTTTTATAGAGGACTCAGAGTTTCAGAAGTATATTTTTGTAGACAATGATTAAACTGTGAAACATTGAAATAAAGCATGTAAACAAAAAATTACAGCACTGTCCTCTGTACAGGTGTTTTCCTCACTTCAGTTCTCTCCTGGCTCATTAGAAAATGTTTGATTACTTCTTGGATATATTTTAATAAAGTTCTCCAAAGAACATGGCTGCTGTCTATGGAAGGGGTAGCCTTAAAACAGTATTGGAAGGGAGGGTTGAAAACCTGTACAGGTGAGTGTCCACATCTCAAATTATTGAAATTCCACAAAATCAGTCCCTGGATCAGCCACTTTGGCAGATTACTTTCTCTGTATGCTGTAGCATTGACCATCACTCAAGGCTGTGCAGGTGGCAGTCTATAGAAGAAGCCATGTTCAGTGCTTAAGGGACACCTTTGGATGTACGGTGGTGGTTACTCACCTGATTTCTTACAAGCTGAAATTGTGGTATCTGTTTTGCAGCTATTTAAGTATGTAGTTTAGCAGCAGTAGCTGTCTTTACCCTTTCACAGTATAACAGTATTTGAAATTAATACTCAGCTTATGAAACTAATTTTTCTAACTTGTAGTAGAGGTTGGTACAACAGAATTAGCATAGAAAAGTTGTTAGGCATTTTTAAAATTGAATTTAATTGATGTTTTATGACCTATGCTGTCTGGGTCAATTATTAATGACTCTTAGGAAACCCCTAGTATTGGTGAATTTTATCACTGTTGGCCCACCTGGTGCTGTATGCCATTGGAATATCCAGCACCATGCTTGGGAGATGGGAAATGCTGGTCTGCTTTATCACAGCAATGGGAGTCTGAACTGGTGGAATGGGAAGGGGCATAGGAGCACTTGGAATTTTTCACATGGTGGTACTATTTCTGGTGCACAGCTGATGATCTTACTGTTTCGGTAAAGAAACTTAAGACATGAAGACAAAGACTGGTCTTCAAAGAATGTAGTACTGGTCTTGGATTTACCATGGCCCTCACTTAGATGCAAGACATAGTGGCTCATTACCATTCAGTAATGTTTCATGTAGGTACTCTCTGTAAAAAAAAAAAAACAAAAACCAAAAAACGGGAGGGGAGTTAGTAAATCTAGTTGTGTGTAGTAAATCAAAACTCAGAGATGCTGTACAGCACAGGAGGAGAGCACGGAGTGCTGGTGCCACTGATACTTTGAAGTTTTGTGTAGTTGTTCAACTGGTATTGGGCATTGCCTTACCCATGTTCCAGTCAGTACATTGTATCCCTTTAACTAGAAAGTTACAAAGAGGAAATGTCATGCGCTTAAAACAACCAGGTACAATCATTTGAATAAATGGAAGTGAAAGCAAGCAACTTGTCTTTGCTGTTGCTAATTCAGTATCAAATGGGACTCTGCCAGAGTGAAGAAACAATACGTGCAAAAGAACAACCTACTTTCACAAGAGTATCCTTGTGCTGGTATGGAGTATAGCATCTGTTCCTTATTCCAGTTTCTAGTGCTGCTACTGTGCCTTTACTGCACAAGCAGAAACAGATATAAAATCACATGTCATTTTTCTAACTATAGGATGCTTAAGTATTTTGTGGTTCATGTCGGAAAGGGGCAGGTCTAGGACATTGTGCTGTGCTACATGATTACTGTTCAGATGTATTAGCTAATCATGACAGCCGAATTCATTCATCTACTGATTTTGTATTTAATTACTTCCTAAATGCACCTGCTTTCCGAAATCTGCCTCACTGGAAAGATAGGCACCCACCACCCATAGATAGCACGAGGTGCTATCCCATAGATACCACCTCGTGCTATCTATGGGATCCAGCCTGAGACGCGGACACTGGTTCTTCTGTGCGTTTACCTCAAAATTTAGGTGAAAACTCCTTCATTTCTGCGATAATTCCAGGTTTTGAACTTGGCGTCGTGAGCGATTCTGCCTAGGCAAGGCCCGTGCCCGGCGACCGGCCGCCCTGCTCCGCCGCGGGCCCGTCCCTCCGACCGCTCGGGTCCCGCCCGTCCCGCGCGGGGCCTTGTGGGGCCGGGTCGATCGCGCAGTGCACGCCGGGACGGCGGCGGGCGGCGCTCGGGCCCAGCGCGGGGCAGGAGCCTCTGGGTGCCTCGGGCGGCGGCTGCGGCCGGAGCGCTCCGGCGACGGCGGCGGCTCTGCCCGGCGGGGATGGCGGACGCGGCGGCCTCTCCCGTGGGAAAGCGGCTTCTGCTGCTGCTGGCGGCGGGGTCGGGCGAAGGCGAGACGGCGGGGTCGGAGCCGGGGCCTGCGCTGCCCGCACGGGCCTGGCGGAGCGGCACCGTGAGGGCCATGAGCGGAGCGGTGCCCCAGGACCTGGCGGTGAGGCCCGGGGCGGAAGTGGGGCGCACGGTATCGTGGACGGGGCCGCGGGTCGAGCCTCCCGCGAAGGCCGCGAACGGGCCGGGCTAGACTGGGGGCGGGCGGGTGCCGCGGCCGAACTGTGCCCGGCGGCCCGAGCCCTCCTGCAGCGCCGGGGCCGCCGGACACGCTCTGGGGATGGAAGCGGCGGGTCCAGCCTGCGACGAGCGCAACGGGGGAGCGACCGGGCAGATATGTGAGGGGTCCGGTACCGCCGGTGCGGTGGTTGGAAGTAACATACGTATGAAACAAATACGCCTGGGACATTTCTGGTGGTGATGGATATGTATGTATGTAACCTCAAAGCATTGTTTTGGGGGTTTTTTGTGTTGTTTTGTTTTGTTTTTCCACCGGGAAGGTGTTAAGTATTCTCATCGGCGTGAATTATATATGAAAACATATATTGAGGGCTGACTTTTGAGTGAGACTCATCCATTTGATTTTTTTCTCAGACTTTGTTTTTAGTTGTAGGAATTTGGGGTTTACATAATGTATTTAAGCACTCTTTAGCATTTCTCTGGTTTATTTCTAGTATAGCTTAGTGAAATGCTTGGGTGGAGATCCTAAAAAGAGCTCTTGAAATGTATTGGTGGAGTGTCTCTTTGCATGTGCCAGTTCTGCAGGCACTGGCTTTAAGTCCTGGCATGCTTTGGAGGGTTGTGTCTGATTTTGTGTCCCATGGTAGTAGGAATGAGGTTCTGTGTTTGTGAAGAGTTTTAGTTCTCTTTATGATCAGTTTTTTAAAAGTTAGTGGTTACCATACGTTCTTTGGGCTTGTTTGCAGAGTTCCAACTTTGAACTGTTTCCTTGACATCCATTCTCTAGTGATGCTGCTGTCTTGTCCTTGTTCTAGAGCTGCACCTATGGCTGTCAGCAGAAAGCAGTGTGCTAGGTTTGGCTCTACAAACCTGGTGGGCCTGGTACCCTGTGTCTGCAGTTGAGAGCTGTGGTTGTGTACTCTAGCTATGCCTAACTTGTTCAAGGAGGAGGAAAGAAAAACTCATGCAGAGTTTCTTCAAAAGGGAAATGTGTCAAGTGTTTTGAGACTATCTGAATTGTGAAAGTGTGACAGGGCTAAGATCCAGCTGAAGAGCAGCTCTTGTAGCAGACTGCATTGGACATGTGTGTCATCAGTAGTTTTGCATTTTCATTGGTGTGTGAATTCGTTACCTTCATTCAGCACTGCAGTTCTCTCCCCAGCTCCTTGTATCAGTACCCTTCCCCTTAATACTGTTTCTGGGGTGTAACTGTCTCTAAACAGTGTATTCTCAAAAATCTGTGCAAGAACTGTAAAATGTGAACTGTGTAAAATAGTCGAAGCAGAATTTAGAGTAATGCAGGACATTCAGTGTTTTCATGGACTCTTCCATGCATAATGAATGCTGCTGTGACAATGGCAATGATATACTATTGGAAAAGAGTTCTCTTTAAATGAATTCTGTCAGAGGTGATGAGCTGTCAGGCACCAAGCAGTCAACCACTGTTTAGGAAATACTCTTCTAAGGTAATAATGTGGACTAAGTGTGATAAAGGCTAGGAAAAATTTATTTTCTACTCCTTGGTCTATGTAAGTCTGTCCTTTCTCATAGTATCCTGTAAGGATGGTATCAACTGCTAGCCTGTAGTCTCATGTTGGGCTTATAGAAGTACAAAAGTGCAGTTGAATATCTGCACCTTTTTCGGGCAGAAATATTGGGAATAGACAAGAAGTATAAAATTTAAAAGCATGGGTTTTGTTGTTGTTTTGTTGTTATTTTTTTGGGTTTTTTTCTGGTAAAGCCTCTGAAAGATTTTTAGGTTTTTTTCCCCTGTAAAATTTTTGTTACAGAGAGTAGCTCTTAGACATTCTTACTTTTATATAATGTGGTGTAACCTAATTGTGTAGTCCACAAAAAAATACATATTAAGGTCAGTCATAGTTGTTGTCCCATCTTCAGAGCATCTAGAAGAAATTCTGAGGAAAAATTATGCTGCTATTAGAAAACAGCTTCGCCTCTTTCTCATAATGTTTACTGGAACAGGATCATTAAAGACCTGTTGAGCTTTATTTCAGTCTGTTCCTAATACTGTAAAAGTACATTGTATTTTTTCCTAAGATTGTAAAAGTGCATGCTAATGGCAAAATAACTCAGTGTGTCACATGAAGGACAGTACTGCTTTTCTTATGTGGAATGGAAGTGTGAGACATGTTTTTTTAAATGGATAGGCAAAGCTCTACAATACCATGAAAGTTAGGAGGCTGGGGACACAAAGTGTTTCGAGTAGGGACTACTGGCAAAGTAGCACAAATATAATATTAAGAAAGCTATAGGCCTACTGAAAACAGAAATATGTTCAGTCTTTTACACTATATTGCTGAAAATTCATTAATTGGTGGAAGGATGTCTTGGAAGGTCTGACACTGTTTCTCAGCAGGGCAGCTTAATGGAGTTCAAGAATTCATCAAGACAATTACTTCATATTCTTCCCTTGGGGTTTGAGCTTTTGAGTCTGGGGGGAGGAGTGGGGTAGAGGAGTAAGTAGTCTCTAATACTTCTTCTAATATGGTGTATTGGTAAAGCAGAGAGTTTATCTCTGATTAGTGCCTTGTTGCGTCCCAGTGATCTTGTAATGGTTACAAAACCCTGTTTCAATATCCAGTTTAAGGTGTTCCTTAACAGACTAGTAATTTTTTGCTGTTCATGTGACATATTTGATTATATTTGGCAAGTGTGTAAGTTCTGTAGATGAGAGATTGGAATGTGACTTTTCTGACACATAATAGCTCCAGTTGTTAGGACATGGAATGAGATGTGTAATCTTACCATTCTTGCCATGTAATTTCAAATTATTTTAACAGTTGTCCTTTATGATAGTGAAACAAAGAGGATGATATCTCAGAATAGTGATTTAGATTTGTAGCATATGTAGTGTGGTTTATATTGTTACACTTGTAAATGTTATTAAAAATCTAGCAAGTAGGTAATTCTGGGTGGTTTCTTGCTATCCAAAATATATGCATTTGTTCAGGGAGTTTAATAATGTACAAGACAAGACAAAGCTTCTGATTTAGAGTGGGTTTTGCAAACACAAACCTTGCAGGCTGAAGCGTTTAGTTCTGTGAATATCAGTTAACCATACTGATACAGGCTGTCTGTTGAAGTGCCAAGTAAGAGTGTTGAGATTCTCTAAAAAATCCTACTATGACAGAGGCTTGCATTGGGTCATCATCTGTATTTTGGGATGAACAATTTTCATGTCTTTAATTTTGTATAGGAAAACAGAGCATTTGGAGCCAGTGATGTATGTTTGGGTATAAATAATTTTTCATAGGTTAGTGATTGTTAACTTGATTCCTATAGCTATGTAGACGTATTCTCAGTAACAACATTGCAAAACTTACCCTGATTTTTCTTACTAAAATTGCAGTCTCATTTTCCATAAGGATTATAGCAATCTTATTTTGGATTAAATGTCTGAAAGGAGATGAATTTTTTTTTAATCAGATCTTTGTGGAATTCGATGGCTGTAACTGGAAACAACATGCATGGGTGAAAGTCCATGCTGAAGAAGTTATAGTGTTGCTGCTGGAAGGATCATTGGTTTGGGCACCTCGAAATGATCCAGTTATGCTTCAGGGGACTAGAATCTCGCAGACGCAGTGGCCTGCGCTGGTGAGTATTTGACCAGAAGCCCTTAGATCTTCAGAGGTTTTTGTCAGCTGCACTGTGAAGCTCAAGGCTTGGATATTGTACAAGGCACCATTTTGCAGGTTCAAAAATTGCTTGGGGCTGGACTTTTGCTAATATGACTTCCTTAACTGGCATTTAATAGTGCCTTTGGGAAGGCATTGGAGAAGCAGTATGCTCCCAGTTCCTACTCCAGAAATTGCTATGACATATTGTCCAGAAAAGTGATATTTACTATTTAGTCTCTGAAGAAATGTGTTTTATATCTGAAAAGATTATTTTTCCCTATTTTAAAACCTTGTGTATGTCAGGCTTTTCTGAATTGAGAATAAGCCCTTTTTGTCTTATGAAGGACTCTCCAGAGCTCTGTATGGTAAAGGCTGTTGCATCAATTAAATAGGTATACCAGAGGACATCTTCAGGAAGAGAATAGACTGCATGCTGTGCCTGATATATAAACCATAAATTGGCCACTCCTAATCTAAAAAAAAATTATTTCTGTTTTGTTGTCAGCATTAACTAACGTGACATGCAAAATTTTCTCATATTTCTTGATGTGGTTGACCATATTGCTATTTGCATGGCAGTTAGATGTCATGACACTTAAAAACAAAGCTAGTTTATTTTAGCTAGCATATCTGAATATACCCATTCTGCAAACATCTTGATGAGTAATATATAGTGAAGAGCGTTCCTTATCTATTTCTTCTCTTAGTGACTTCTGAAGAGGAAAGCCCATTATGTGTGGGAATCCTTCCCTCATTTTTATGCTGTTTAATTTTTTATTATTTGCCCCTTCTTTTGTTTCTTTTGACCTCCCACAGGCCTTGGACTGCTTGGGATTCTACTCTCTGCTTTTTAATACATTTTGTACATGGATACATTGAAACATTTTTTCCTGTCAAGGATCATGTGCCTTGGTAGAATTTGAATTTAGTGTTTTAAATGGGCATTCAGGCTCAAAGCAG